AAAAGAACAAATTCTATAGGAACACGCGCAAAAAAGAATAAATTCTATAGGAAGAAAAATAGGAAAAATATCATTCTCGTAGGAATAAAAAATAAAGCATAAATTCTATAAAAATAGAAAAAAGAACGAACACATTACACATTAAATAGAAAAAGTATAAATCTCACAGAGACATAAATAAGAAAAAAATATATAAATTTCATGGAAGCGAAACACAAATGCCATAAAACATAAAAGAATAGAAGAAGAAAAAAAAAACATAATACAATGAAACAATTTTACCAGTTGTTCAACCTTCATCTCAAAACAGCGAAGAAATTATTGAAGATAATCGAAAATTCTTACATTTCATTCTGAAAACCATCCTTTAAACAAAAAGTAATTATTCTAACCAACATAATTATCTCTAACCCTTAATTAACAACGTATATACATCATATAATTTACAATGATAATGCATGATTTGCTTACATTTTGAACGAATTTTGTATAGATTTAGATACAGTTCCGAAGAATTTTCGATCGATAAGTCATCGATCAATGGATATAATGAGTGGCAATTAAGTTAAAACGTGATTTTCATGCCTAAAATGTGTAACAAAGACAAAAATTCCTATTTATTTGGCCAAAAGGTGTGTGAGTTTTTTTTGTTTGCTGCAATTGAATTTATCATTAGAATCATTGATTTTATACTTTAAATCTCAGTATTTTTATATAAAATAAATATGAAATTTGTTGTGGATCTCATTAGATGATTCAGATCTATTAAATCATCATTTAATTATTGTAAATCGCTTCATTCCAGTTAGTGAGAATACACCCATTGTAAATGGCGTGAATCACATTTTACTATTGAACATCGCATTGAAATTATTGTGGATCGCATGAATTACATCGCAATGGATCCTAGTGTAATCATTGAGGATTAATTAATGGATCATATTTTACTAATTATTAAACACTTGGATTACAGTTTAGCCACTAGGAATTGTATGAATCATAGTAAACTAGTTATGAAAATCGTTTCAATAGAGAATCCGGAAATTTTTAAAAGGGGTGCAGCTCCCTAAATTCGCCCATGGATCGTACTATAATCATTAAAAAATTGTAATATCTCTTTCTTAATCAATAAAATAATTTAAAAAAATCAGTTATAAGAAATGGGGTCTGAACCTACGATACAGATAAGAACCAACGCCTTAATCTCTGTCGTTTGAGTAACTTACTAAATGCATTTTATTATATTATTGGAACCATATAGATTATGTTTAATCTTTATGAATCGCTGGATCATACTTTAATCATTATGGATCGCGTGGATCATTCTTTCATTACAGGTATTACATGGAATTATTTTTTTAATCAATAATAATAATGAGAATCGTGTCGTGTTTTTTCTTTTTTTTATTATATGAATCATTAAAAATACAATTTGTCTATAGTAAAAATAGATTCATACTTTCGAAATTAAACAAATAAAATAATTAAATGGTAAATTATTTTAAAAATAAATAAATAAATAAATTTTGTAATTTATTTTATGTCTGAATAAAAGCATATAAATAGTATTTTGTATAAAGTTTTTTTAAAGTAGAATAAGTATCGAAAAATATATTTACTTTAAGAAAAATTTACTCCATTTAAAAACGTACAAACACATGTTCATTCTCATACGAATAAAGCAAAAATAAAAAAAATAATAAAATCATTTTCTACAATCATCAGTCTTAAAATGATAGCCTGTTGTTATCTACAAAAATATATAAACATTTATTTATTTATTTTACAACTATAAAAGGGGGCTTCCTATCCTTTACTGCGTGTCGACCCCCTTTCTAACACTAGATTTAACTGGCTCACCCCGTTCTATACTAATGAAAAATGATCACAAATAATTGAATTTAAATAGGAGTTTATCGAACCCCAATTGACCCTTATGACCTTTGACCTATTGACACTTGCGAGTTGCTAGCGATTAAGTTAGGAAACCATTTACCTCACGTCATTACCTTTTTTTCTTTTTTTATCAATNGAGAACTTACAAGTTACTAAAGTTTCTTTTAACTATCTCGGTTGTTCCACTTATTACTTTCGTCATAACGTTCGTATAATATAAAGTTACATTCGATTCCAACACCATCGTCTTGGTTCCTAAATTTTTAATCAATGAGTATATTATCCACATAAAATTTTTATAGGTGGATTCTTGATTTCTAATGCAAAAAGAAAAAAAAATTGTTCACTTCAAAAATGGCAAAATATAATCTAAAATTTAAAAATAACATAATAAAACTTAAATATATATTTGATAAAACTCAAATTTGAAAACTGTGAAACTGTTTGAAAATTGACATAAAAAGATTTTACAAATAATTTGTTTAAAGATAACCTCCTTGTTTCTTGATGCAAAAGAATATTCAAAAAATAGTCTAAAATATCCTTAATTCAAATTAGATTCAATAGTTCAAAATAATTACTTAATCAAATTTAGAAAAGCTATGTATATATTTTTAAAAAATTCCGTAAATTATGGGACGTATATAGGGAAGTTAGGGAATTTTAAAATGTGGGACGTGGGATAATTCTACTGTCAACTTTTACCGAATCGTTTACGTGTGATTGACTGAAAGGAAAATCCCTAAAATCCCTAAAACTGACAAGCCAAATTGAAGATAAAAATAAACCCGTAATCTTACTCGTGTAAGCAGTGTTCAGTACATAAAACAAATAAAGTTTTGCAGGTTCATCACCAATTATTTCTAATAATTTCTTGACGTTTCTTGCAAGAAACAAAACTAATTAATTTTTTTTAAACTTTATATAAAGATATTGCTCGTACTTTTATCATTTCCAATATTAAAATTAGCATAAATTAATGCCTGTCTGTCCGTCACGCTCTACATTACATCGTGTCGAACAGACACGATATAGTTTTGGCGAACAAGCGAGTATCTAGTTTTTAATTTTTTTTAATTTATCAAGTAATTTAATTAAAGTAAAACCTGTCTAAAACGGAAACCCTACCAAAAAAAAAAAAGTTAGGTACGGTTTACACAGGTTTTCCTATATTAAATAAATGTTTTCTTTACACCTTAAAGGTAATTAAGTGGAAGTTAATTAAAGATTTTATTTGAAGATAATTATAATTCTTAATTAATTAAAAATTTAATTATAATAGAAGTTTGTTTTCAATTTTTATTAAAATAGAGTTTTAGGCTTTATTTTTAATTATTTAATACTCGCGCAATGTATCGCGTGTGTCGCGTCGCTTCGCGCTTAGTTTTTTTCTTAATTCGTATTAAAACAAATTATAATAAATATTTATTAAAAATTTACTTTTAAAACAGCGTATGAATGATTAATAGACAATTTTTATTTATCTGTAACTGAAATAACGAAGCAATAAACAATTTATATGAATTTTTTTTAATGCGCCGCGCCGTGCGACGCGGTATGCGACGCGCTGGCGCGTGACAATTGAAAACTATTTCCTTTATTATAAATTTAAAAAAAAATCAAGAAAAAGTTCGAATGTAGATAAGTAAAGTTGAGATTTTCGAACTTTTATTAAGCTTTTTATCAAGTTTCTTTGGTACTTAAACGAAGATTTAAGGAATTATTTCAGTGTTGAACATTTATCATTTTTGACGTTATCGAGGATTTGTCACGCTAAGTCCATACGTAATTTTTAGAGATGAAAGTTTTTCTCTTTATAAATAATCCGGATTTTAAAGATTTATGTCCGTTAAAATAATGCGAATTCGGGATTATCTGTATAAGGTTAGTCACATGAGTAAAGTCACATAACTTTGATATTACTTAACTTTCGGGTGACAATCCCTTTGTAAATGCTGAGTCTTAAGGAGATGATCACGAATCTAAAGAGATTCAATTCGTAAAGTGATTTACTCAATCACTTTACGAATTTGCGAGCTTCTGTATCTAAGAGCATAGAAGGCCTTAAACATGAAACTTGATATAAAAACCTGGTCTTTTGGTCTTACTAAATAAAAGCTTGGTGCAACTTTTTATATAATTTTACGGTATTATTCTGTGACTACAATCAGACGTTATTTATAAATTACAATAAAACAATTTCACAATTGCAATTATGTATTTCCCCCAATTTCGGGGCTTCTAGGAGGGGTTTAAAACAAAATAATCGAAATACATTAAAACCTCCAATCGTCATCACTTTTACGTTATCAGTTTTTGGCTTCCCCTATTATAAAGTTTCAAGTTAAAGATGATGTTCAGGTAGACGACAATCTCATTATTCTTAAAATAGAGTCTTTCCAATCCTTTATGAAAGACCAAAATCTCTTCGGAACCAAAGAAAGCTTTATTATATTCAGCATTCTATTTCCTCATAATACAGAAAACGAACATGATCCTAGATACAGATTTTTTAAACAATATTGGTAATTAAATTTGTAGTATTATCCGCTTCTGGGGGCATTTTATTGGTTATATTATAGGGCCTTTATATTATAAGGTCCTTCCTTATGTCCTTAAAAATCGATTAAGAAAATGTATACGCTGTTTATTATATTAAATTTCAATATCAATCCATGATATAGAAAGCATTATTAAACTGAATGATTTCAATTTAATAATATTCAAATTTTGGGAATATTCAACAAGCTATTAATTTCTAATGCAGGACAAATTGAAATTAAATAGTAATTTTCATTGTTTCACGTATGTAACAATTTGTAATAATTGCGATATTCACGATTATAATTTATTTCCAGTGCATTAACTTAGCAAAAAACTTTAAAAAAACACTTTTAATTAAAACTTTAAATGAGTTTTAATGGCAATTAATATTGTAAGAATCGAACAATCGAGAGAGATGCCATACTTGATTTTTCAACTAAATATTTTCTAGCTTTAATATAAGTATTTTTAATTCAATATTCTTCTTAAAACTAATAAAACTTTTTATAATTACCTAAGAATATTTTTTAAGAAATTAAAATCCATTCATTTTTTTACAGCGGGCATCTTATCCTGAATTTTTACAATTTTATAAACAAAAAATTCAAGAGCTTTATCGATTGAAGCATCAATTTTACAAGAACTTTGGATAGTTCACTACTTTTGAAGAGGGAAAAAAATGGATAAGAAAGGGATTGAAGTAATTCAATAAGATTAATTTTAAGCCAGATTTTTTGGGTAAAATGATCCTCGATTTTGTAGAAAAATTTCTAAATTCTTGTAGAAAAAAAAAAATTCAGAAAGTTTGAAAGAATGGATGCAATAAGATGAAAATGAAGCAGTTTTAATGTATAAAAATCATTATATTTTTAGTGGATTTTTAATAAAAACACCTGGCTATAATAATATTTATATAAAATTTTAAAATAAATAAATAAAAATATTTTTAAGTTTTAAAACGAATGTAATCGCATAAAAATATTTTTATTTTTTTCTTAACATGAAACGACATTCAGCATTATAAAATTCAATTCGTGCTATTGTAAGATAGGAAACCGTGTCTTTTTTCCACTATAAAATCCATAGAAATTTAGTTTATAAAAGTAAATTTTTGAAAATTTAAAAGAATTTTTCGCTTCTTTTCGCATCGCGCCACTTTGTAATAGTTTAAACTTTAAGAAAAATAAATTTCTTGACGACGATGCTATGCGATAATTCTCATCGCGTATGAAATTTAGTAAAACAAAATTTCTATCGATTTAAAATTTAAATTATTAAAAATATTTTAAGAAAATAATTCTAAATAAACTAAAATATATTTATAAGAAAATATTTAATTTTTTTCATATAAATATATTAATTAAAAACAATATTAACGACGCGTTAGCTACGCGACGACGCGAATCGAACTTTTCAGCGCGTCGTCACATTAATATTAAAATGGTAATGACAAAATTAAAAGTAAATTTTATGCATATAGGTAGTCTCTTGTTAAATTTTTAAAATAATAATTTAAAATTTATTCAACAAGAAATGATTGGCTGTGGAAAATAGATTCCGCCTCTATTTTTAAACCTTAACCAATTATCATCGAGAAATTGATTTTTCAAATTTACTCTTTTATATTCAACAGAGAACCACTTATGTTTACAGAATTAATGAAGTCTGTTATACGATTTTTCAAAATTGTCTTCTATTTAGTAACTCATTCGGAATTGTTTAAAAATAATAATAATAAATATATAAATATTATAATTAATAATCCTTAATCTATATAAATTATCGTAATAAAATGAAATATTTTTTCACTGTTTAATTTAGCAATTTTATATATAAAACTATACATTATTTGCCACTATTCTGTTTGAATATTTTAAAATACTTGAAATTATTTAGTTTTTTTAATAGAATTTTAGTTTAAAATCGGTCTAATTAGTGATCTTATTAAATATCACATAGAATAACAAAACAACAACCAAATATTTTAATGAATTATCCGGATCTAATCTTTAGAAACTCATCCAATTCTTATTATCCATGGCTTAACTACAGACAAACAAACAACTCTCCTCCTTTTCTTTAAGTTTTAATCGGATTTTATTTCTAATCTGATTGCGAAAGATCATAAATTTAGGTCATTTTATTCAATTGTTAGAATGTTATTATACAGTAAAATTATTATTATTATTTTTTATTTATAAATATTTAAATACTAGTTTAACTTGGTAAAAATTTATTGTTTAAATTTTATTTATATTTTTTACATTTTTTTTGTCATTATTTTATAAATACTTGACTGAAAATTCGAGATTAATATAAATTACGTTATATTACTTATAAAATGTTTTAACGCATAAAAGTATACAGGAAAACAAGCTGTTTAACCATCATCTTTACAATAAACTGAGTTAGAATTCAATTAAAATGGCTCATACACAATATAACTTGGAGAATTGATTAAAGTTCATTTTTCTTAAAAAATGAGAGAATACATTTAGGGGAAAAAAAAGAAAAGCACTACATTATCAATAACGCTAGCGGCTCTTTAGATCTTTATTTTAAAAATAACGAATGGCAGAGAAGAAGAGGAAGAGGGAGAGAGAATAGATCGAAATTTTCGAAAATTAGATCGATCCCTTTGGGTGTTCGACATTTGGAATGTCACAATGAGCATCACGATCGAAGAACCAATATAGATAGGATACCATAAATCTGTTTGACACAAATTTCTTACTTCTTCTAAAAGTTACACTTTAATCTGATCAAAAAATAGTTTTATATATGTATAAAAAATTCGAATTTTCTTAAATATTTCTAAAGTTTCTGCAATTGATAAAGATTCATAATAAAAATTGACGATAAAATTATTTAAAATTTCGAGATTTATAATAAAAATTTCTACAATTGATGAAGATTCAATGAAAATTTTATGTTAAAAATTTCTACGATTGATGAAGATTCATGATGAAGACTTAATGATATAAATTTCTACAAATGATAAAGATTAATGGTAAAAATTTCTACAATTTTAACTGCAATTTATTCTTCTATAATAGTAAACAATTACGTATCCTTGACAAATATAAATACCTTTATATCTATATTTTAATCCCTTTCGTGGAAGAACTTCCGTTTATTCATAATAAGTTTGAAAGAAATATTCATTTATTTATTCTGATGTGATCTTTCTGCTATTCGTTATAGAAGTTTTACCCACGCAAATAGTTAAAAGCTAATTTCAAAACGATTCGAAATGTCAATATCCACGTGACACATGAACTAGAGATGAAAATTGATAAANATATAAAAATTTAAGTATTAAATATTTATATTTTAACATTTTAATTTCTAATCTTATTTTTAAAAATTTAAATAATTTAAAATGGCTAAAAATTAAATTTTTTAAATAGTAAAACATACAAAAAGAAGAAAAAAAAGAGTACAATTTCTAAATAATTCGGCATATAAAATCAATAAAAATCTCAATATACAATTTATTTTATTATTTTTTTATAATTATTAGAGAGAGTTTTATATAGAATACAATATTTAATACGCGCCTAGTTATAAATGCACTCCTATACATCACTTATTAAGAATGAAAGAGTTGAAATTAATTTTTACTTGGCGTATATAATGTTTGCAAATTATTAACAGCATTATAATTCCATTAACATCTAACGGTTATTGTAGTTAATTAATTAAAACTGATGAAGAGCAATTATATACATTTGTGTTAATGTTGAAATTTCTCCACGTTAAACTACACTTTAAGATTTTACCGTGAATTTATTATGGTTTTTTTTTTAATTAGAGAATAAACTATACTTACTGTATATAGGCGATTTTTCTGTAGGTTCGGGTTCGGGTACAAAGACACGAGCTTGTGGATTAGCGGGGTAAGCGGGTGTAGTGATAGGATGCAAGCTCCAACTCTTGTATAAGCTTTCAGCAACCCAATCCCTTTCGTCCATCTTCACCTCTCAGGTAAATAGTATCCGCTGAATGTTGGAAAGATGTCGCTGGAAGTGATATTTGTTTCGTTAAGCGAGTCTGATGTTCGATCCATAGGAAGATAGACGCAAGCGCGTTTGCAAAATGTCATTTGCTACGTGTCGACATCTATTGATGAATAGTGTGATTAACTCTCTTTATATATATATATATATATTAAACACGGCAGTTAAATTATTTAATTTTTAAATGTTTTAAATTCAAATATTTATCTATATTATAATTATCATCATTATACAATGAGCACGCGATTGTTATAAGCTGTAAAATTTAGTTATCAATTTATATAAATTTTTAATGAAAATGTGAGTGAAATGAAGTTTAAAAGTGATATTTTACATTAAAATTTATTATTTTTTTATTGAGGTGAATACTGTAACGCTCACGTGCCATTGTTAAGTGTAGTATTTATTTGTTTATTTAATTATTTATTTATAAATAATTAATAAAATACAAAATATTTTTTGAATAAATATGTAAAAAATTATTTTTTTTTGTTTCTGATGGGATTTTTCTGAATTTAAAATGTTTGTTTATAATTTAATTCTTTTTGAATATTGATAAGATATTAATTTTAAATGAATTCGTTGCTTTAACTTTTTCTTTTATTTTGATTTTTAAAAGAAATTTTGTTTCATTTCTTAATAAATTTTTGTAAAAGTTAAGCATTATTTTATATTTATTAAGATGCGTTTTTTGAGTCGCGTCGCTTATGTAAGCGACGCGACGCAAAGTTGCGACGTAGCGCAACGTCGTCGCATTGCTCAAGTATTTAAATATTCTTTTTGAAACACGAAAATAATTTTCAATAATTCATCAAAATTTCAAAGAATATTCTTTATTTTTGAAGCTTTTATTTCAATATTTTAAATAAATAATCTAAAAAGAAAAATAATAATAATAAATAAAGTTTGAATAATAAAAATAAAATATTCTTTGAAAGATAAAATATTTACATTTTAAAGTAAATTAAATTTCTTAAATTTAATATTTACAAAATTTATTTCGGACAAGTTCGTTAATGTCAACATATTTGAATTAACGATCCGACACGAAAATCAACACCGTTTAATCTAAGTACGTGACGTCATAGTCAAAATTTACACCAATTGAGTAAATGCGTTTTTGCTTATTTTTTTATATCTTTAAAAAGAAAATATTAAAATAATTTTTACTTTAAGAAAAACTTTGTTTAAACATTATTAATTCGACTGTAGAAAAAAAACAACGTTAATAACGAATAAACGCCACCTAACGGAAATAAAACCTCGAAAACGTGACGTCAAAATTAATTTAAATTTGAATTTTTTTTTTTTATAAGATTTTAATTATTGACAATTTTTTACTAAGTTAACAAGAAAATATTTGTTTTAAATCCGAGAATATTCTGTTTCTACACTAATATATATTATTTTAAAATAATAAATTTATTTAAAAACAATAAAAAAAATTTGTTGTATTCAAATAATATTTACAGTAAGAGTTATAATTACTTATAATTAATTCAATATAGATAGAAAAATAATCATGTATAAATAATAAGAAATAATAAATTATTTACGTGTGTACATGCGATATTAATCAATAAATAGCGCTAAGTAATTTGCATTTAGATATCATTAACTCAAAGTATTCTCATTGTTTTTTTTTATTATTTCTTGCTAATTAAAGCAATAATTTTCTTATATTAAATCAATACTTCGATCCATTTATTATAAATGACGATAAGTTATAAAATACAGTAGTAAGTTTGATGACCCAAAAGTCGGTTAACGGAATTAACGGTTAACTAATTTTAGGATCCGTATATTAATGAAACTTTTAAAGTTTTAGCTTAATTAAAAAGTGGGCATTGATTGGCTACATAGTTGCCGGAAGAATATACGAGAATATTTAGTTTATTTCTTATATAAAGTAATAAAAAATAATTAATGTAACTTAATGAAAAAATAAATATTCCACATCTTGACATTTATTCCCAGTTATAAACTTTGTGATAAAATGTCATATTCTAGTGTAAAAGTCATAGGACGAGATCGAATTTAGGTCACTGGGTCATCCACTCCATCAACTTTCTACCTAAACACAAGATTTCTTAAAGAAACCCAAGAGCGAAGGATTCCCTTTTATCTCAAGAATGCCATGTTGTTTACTGATTTCAGTTAAATAGATTATTATGTGTATTCAAATACTTTATGCACTTCTATGTATTCTTATGTATATATTAAATATTCAATAAGTTATATACAATATTTACAATTATTTTATTAAGTAAAATGTGGATTATACTTGTATGTAACTTTTTTATATTATCTTTAAATTTAAAATTAAAATATTTTACTTTATTTTTTAAACTAGCTTTTAAAATGTTTATACTTTTTTTTAGTATTTAAAAAATAGCATATTTAAAGACGTTTATATGAATAATTTATATGTGTTTATCGCATTTTAAATTACTTTATAATTTAATCAACTAAATGTTGAGAAAAGTAAAATAAAATTTAATAAAAATTCTACCAAACAAACCTGGTATTAAACTGTTTACATGTAGGTATAGAGATATATTTTTAAAATTTATTTATTTAATATGACAATTATTAGAAAATAGAAATATATAACGTGGAATACAATAAATAATTTTAACTTCTAGGTGAAGAGATTTAAATTTAATGTGTTTAAATGATTTTTTTAATATATAAAATGCGCCATTTATAAGATTACTTTTATAGAATACTTAATACTTATTTTATATATTTTTTAATAATAGTACATTTTTATTATAATTTAACTTAAGATAAATTTTATTATAAAAATTATTTTTTTTTTAAATTAAAACAATACGTCATTTATACTCCAGTGCTAAAAGTTTAATATTAAATTACTGGCGAATGAGAGAAACGATAAGAAACTGCGTCATTGATGGCGTCATAATCGACGATTTTTGAATTTGGAATTCGAAAATCGTCGATTATGACGCCATCGATGACGTAGTTTCCGAGTTCGATTTCTTTGCCTTACGCCATTTTTTTGTTTTTAAGTATATTTAAGGTGAAATATAATAAATAATTTTTTCTCTCTGGTTAGTTGATTTATAATTTAAAATTATTTATTTAGAATTTACAAAATTTAATCTTTTAATAAATAAAATAGTTTTTATAAAGTTATTTTTATAAAGTTGGTTGTTTTATTATTTATTTTAAACGTTTCTAAAATGGAATAAAGTATAAAATACTAAAAAAAGAAACTGGAAAAAAATATTTTATTACATTTTTCTTGTTGCAGATGGAAATAACTTGTGTCTTAATACTCCAATTTCTTTCCATATTTATCTTGTAGGTCTTTAATTTCTTATACAACATAAATATGTAACTTGTATAGGAAACATGATATGATTTCTATATAGGAATTTTATATCTTGATATGAAATTCTATATGATAATTCTGTATGTAAGGATGTTTCTTCGTATAGAATATAAGTTCGATAGAGAAAATTTATTATTATTATTTTTAGTACACAAAAGACTGTTTTTTTTTTCTTTAATTTATTTATATAATGGACATTTTATTAACATTATTGATAGAAATATAACAACACAAAATGAGTCTTTCACATTGAACTTTTGGTTATAAATTTTTACAAACGTTATATATATATATAACTAAATTTATCACCTCGTAAAGAATAATTTATTACGGTAATTTTCAAGTAATTTTTTTTAAAAAAACGAAAGAAAATTTCCAATTTAATTATTTCTTATTAAATATATTTACAATACTTTTAAATGTAACTATTAAAGATATAATGTTCTCCATTGGACGACAGCTCGTTTTCCTTGCAGCATAAATCCCCATTGAGTTAATTTCTGATCTTGTTCATATATATATGGTCCAGTTATCACTCGACCCACAACTGAATCTTGTCTTAAAAAACCTTTTACCATAACAGTCGTTACTATACTTGCTTCTTCTATAAAGCATAAAGGAACTATAAAATGAAAGACTTGGTTATAACTCGGTTCACTAGTACCATGAACTACAGCAGTCCTCACTGTTTTAACCTTGGCTCCACTACATCTTAATGTGATTTTGACATAACTGTTAAAACTCTCTGCAAAATAAAAATTAAATTAAATATTTTCTAATATTACAGTTTATAAATAAAGAAGGGGAAAAGGGGGAATTTTAAATTTAATAAAAAGGATTTTTTTCCAGTAGTAAACGACACGAGATCCATTGAAAGTGGAAAATATATTAGAGATGTTAGTTTATATCTCTTTACAAATCTTCTAAGAGGAATTTTATATACTTTTATTGCTCTCTTAAGATTTAGAAGGCGTATCTATATTTGTTATAAAAGTAATAAAAATTTATCGAATGTTTCAATTACTTTAAACTTTAAAAATTTGTAAATAAAGTATATAAAATACCCCAATTTTCTAGGTTATGTTTGTAGAATTTTAATGAAAATAATAATATAATTACAATTTATTTAAAAAAATTAATAACTTAATTTAAAAAAAAAAAACTAGAAAATAAAATGATCATACCAATTGGTCTATTGGGAAATTTTGAAGAGATTGAATCCAAACGCAAAGAACTACCTCTTAATACCGTTACGGATAATCGATCGTGTGATTCCAGATACGAAAATGATAATAATAGTTGACCGAGATTATCTACTGGCTGAGAAAACAAAAATTTAATTATTATAAGATGCGGAGAAATGTTTTGCAAATCCTTATTATTGCTACGTTTCTCAATTTGAATCGCGCGACTCGCGACTAGCGATTAGGAAGTCGCTTATCGCGCGACATTTCTGATTTAGTTAAAAATATTCTAATTTAATGTAAAGTGTTTAGTATATTTTTCATATCACCGTTTATATTATATGTATAATCTTATTGTATTCATTTATGTAAGCGATACTTTGATTGCGAGAAAGATAGAAGTATCGATGACTATCGCAACTGTCGCTCATCGTTTTGTTTATCTCGAACAGTGAAATGGGAACGTCATTTTAAAAGCGCTCTAATTAATTTCGTAATGCAATTTATCGGTTTTCGCCTACTTTCATCATGATATATGCTTCATTAGTCAAATAATAAGAGACGGATGCGCCGCGAGTTATCTATTTATTGTGTGTCACGTTGATAACATCGCCATTGACGACAAAAATAGCTTTAAGGCTTGTTGACTGTAGATTTTTACATAAAATTCTAAACCAAAATATTTTCAAATTACAAAAGGACGATGACATATCTATATTTTTATATAGTGATATGTTGCAAGTCGCCTGCGACAGAGAAGCGACAGATGCGAAATTTTATCTAATCACTTTCACAGATTCCAGTGTGAAACTGTCTGTAACAATTGCAGAACATTTGATTACTGTAGAAATATTTTAAGCCATTATATATGTTACATTAAACACAAGTAAATTTTAAGGATAAAACTTACCAAAGATTTATGAGTTAGAGGAAGTCTGTGATTGGTAAGGACATTCATTTCCTCTTCTTTTAATGGTACAATCACGTGACCGATGGCATCGTGTCGTCCCTGACGATCGAAATCGTACAAAGAAAGCTGTAAATGCCTCCCATTCACGTTTCTAGCTTTCGATAAATTAAAATAAACATCCTCTCGAAAATGAGGATTGAGTGTGCTTTTAATGGTTCTAGTGACTCGTACATTCTTTCTTGAGGGAAGAAACGTGACTTTAACAAAAGTATCATAATATATTTTTGTTCCTTTCGGTGGCAACGATACAGCTTTATCTACGTGAACGACGAGTCTATGTAAAGTAATAAATATGTTATAATATTATAAATTACTTAAATATAGTTAAATATTTTAGTCTGATGCAATTACAAAGTCAAGAAATTTTTTTCTTAAAATAAAAAAAGAATTCTTTAATACAATTACATCCAGTAAAAAATGATTTTAAAATATAACACGAAGAACGTATAATATGTAAAATACATTAAAATATTTTACATTTTTTATAAGTTAAAATAAAAATTTTATATTATATTGAGGCGTGGAAAATTCGGAGGGGAAACTAGTGGCACATTATAAATTCATGGAGCCCAGACAACTTTAAATTAGGGGGTTCCACGTACAGTATTGATTTCAGACATTTTTGGGGAAAATATTTTGTAATAAAAGATTGGTTTAGGCCTGTTGTTGATGGGACCTTACTTGGCAATTTCCCCTTTTTAACGTGCCACTGGATCAAATTCTTTCAATTCTAACTTCGATGTTGGTGTTTTAACATTCACTTTGAAATTATGATTGGTTTAAATATATAGTGATTCTGTAAATTATATTTTTAATCTTTATACGTATTCCTACATTCCTTGTGTAATATTGGCTTGAACACCTAAACTTGAATTACAGTAGTGTATTTGGAATTTACACTACTTAGAATGCTAATTTACATGCGTATATTTGAGAATCTAAATCCCAATTATTCCGGATTTTCGACGCATCACTTATTTCATTTTTTATTCTTGAAATTTAAAAAATAAATTTTATAACAGCGTGTCGCCATCTTTTGACAAATAGCTAAATTAATTTATATGGGTATAATTTATAATTTTAACCTCATGCCTCTTTGCTTTACGGCTCATTTTTTATAAGAAAATTCATAGATTTAATTCGATATACTATTTAAATATGAATAGTATTTAATAAGCGTAAATATTTTAAAATTTTATTAATTAGTGTATATATTGTATATACAATACTAAGCAAGCTAAGAATATCTTCATTGTCATAAAAGTAGCGCGGATATTAATGCAGCGTCTTGAAAATGAAAGCCGCATCCATCAGTAACACACAGGCAGAAATTCAGCAAGACGATGCAAATAAAAGAAATATCGAATGCTGTTTTGAATTTATATTTAAATGGGTATTGTTTTTGTTAACTTTATTGTTCTATTGCCCTAGAGAGCTCGCTTGTAATAATATAATTAAATTAAAATTTTAAAAAATTTAAGTTTTGCGGGGTTTCATTGAAGACAAGTGGTTAGGTGGCAGAATGCCAGCGTGCCTTGCATTTTCAAACTACATTTTTAAAAGAAAATAAGTAGGCAAAATGTATAAATCCATGTAATTTACAATTATTTTATGTAAAATTTGCATTTATTTGAAAAAAGTTCGCTCATCAAGACATTGAAAAGTGATTCTTAGTCGTCTGCTTCATGGTTGACGTCCAATCTTTCCTGTTTCAATCTGACTAAAAGCATGGAGGTGATGCTCTCTAGTGTACTCAGAGATCTAGACACATCTGTGAAACTTGTCTACTTCTAATCTTTCAATAACTTTTTATAAAATCATTTGTGCAGCATCATAAATCATCGTGCGTGTCCCACAGTAAAACAGTAACAAATTGCTCTCGTTGGTTAAAGTTCAACAGAAGCAATGCCATGCTACTGGCGTATTTAAGGAGTGTTCATATTTTATATAAACTTATGCTTTTTAATGGAACGTTGGACTACGTCCTGGATGTTTTTATTCTCTGGAGACATCCACATAAATTTTTCGCTCTATCCATGGATTGAATGATTATACTCATATCTATTTGGTCCATCATACTTTTTCCATTATAATGTTTAAAATAGAGGGGGGAAATCAATATACGAAAATTATAGAAGAATGTACACAGTTTTTCAGAACTAAAAAGAAAGATTTGATGCTATATTAAGGCGACAGACAAGGCAAGAAGTACTTCTGAGTATTAGGGATGGAGTCCTTAGGCTAATATAGTGTGAGGGAAACAAGCCGTTATAGTATTTATATGTAAATAATTGGTCGCAATAAGCAGGTTGCTAGGTCGGGAGGACTTTCTACAAGAAACTAATCATAATTAAGGGTAAACGAGAAGAAAACCCGGTAAACTTGGCCATCCCAGGTGCGAACCCACAGGTGAAGTATAATTGAAGGTAAGTTTAGAATCAAAAATCATACCTAACTCCTGAACTTAATTGTAAGTTTTATTATTTTCAAAAAATATCTTTGTAATGTGCCCGATTAATATGAATCGTGAATTTGCGCATATTATCTTACTTCATTTACCAATTCTTCTGAACGGTGTATTTTATATTTTATTTTATTTTTTGCACGTTTTCATAAAACCAAAGTTCGCTGTAACTCACTGACCCTATCGCAAATATTTAAGTTTTTAAATCTGACTGGTATTGGCGCGATAACAGTAATAATACGGATTCATGACAATACAATTGGATATCGGTGCAATCCGTTCTAGTGTGAAATCGCCTTTATTTCAGTGGTCCATCGGCCAGAGAAGATGGTAAAAAGGAAACGATTAATATCTCCGAAGCCTATTTTCAGGCTTCGGCCATATCAAACATATTTCTAATCTTTATTGAGTTATCACCCCATTGGGGTGTGGGCTGTTCACGGAAACAGTGCAAATCCGAGCCAACCCGCGACAAAGGAAGAGCAAGCTCCAACCTTTCGCCAGTTTCCAAAAATCAATTTAATATCGATGCTTCTGGTAGAAGCGAATCAGATATTAAGCTGATAACTACAAATGATCTTAGCCATAGGCCGAGAAGCGATAACATTCGATACCCAAATTTCCGTGTCCCCTTCTCGGTGCCTTTAGTGTTACGGGTGTCGTTATGTTGTCGTTTGAAATACAAAAAATTATTCTTTTACAATGAATCTGTTTGGAATTAAACAAATTTGAATCGTAAATACCGTCCATTTATTTGATAAAAAAGCGTATCGATTCGTACTAATTGTTATTTTACAAAAAAGCGTATCGATTTGTACTAATTGTTATTTTACAAACTCGATTGTGCGATTTTTTTTCTAATCGTCGATAGATGGCATTGGTAGTTTCCATGTGATGAAACTAGTGTGGTGAATGTGTACCAAGAAATTTCAATACTGTATTTAATATATCTTAGCCTGAGAGATAGGCTCTGGCCGGAAAATTACAGGATAAACGCAATTGTTCATTTTACCACTTTTTGACTCTTTTCCTAAACTTCTGTCGTCATCTGAGTTAGAAAGCATTTCTCTAATTTTTCAAAATTCTTTTAGTATTGAATACGTTGTTTGTTGTGTTTTAGAGTTTTCTGCAATTATCCACATTTCTGTTTCGTTAATTTTTACATTTTGCGTGCTTTGGTGAAGGAAAACAGTATATGGTCATTAAGAAACCAGTTATATAACATGACATTCAATTTAAATCATTTATCTTGAATAAATAATATTACTTTTATATATATATATATATTGGTTAGGTAATTTAATATTTTAAAGAATTCGTTTAGTTTATTTACATCGTCTTGTGAAGTTATTTGACATGAGTTTGCTATTTTGATGTCAGCATAAGCATTAATCAATGAGGTTGGGATAGGAAGTGATTTATTAATATTATACAAGCTACAAAAAATAGATTGCTGAAAATTGAGCATTGAGGTAGTAAAAATATTTGTTTAGTTTAATAAGGTAATAATTAAATGAAAAGTATTATTTATATGTAAAAATTACAAACATTAAATTTACTGCGGATGTTCACGTATATTATGATATTGCAAACCACTGTTTTTTTTTTAATTTTTACGAAATTGGTTTTACAGTGAAACCTGTGTAAACCGGACTCGTACGGTACCAAGTATTTTTTTCCATTTGGCAGGTTTCCGTTATATTAAGGCTCCATTTTAAACAGGTTTTACTGTATTCTTATTATAATTACATATAAATAAATAAAAAAAACTTATAAAATACCAAGCACAGAATAAAATAGGTACTATAAATATATTTATATTTAGGTAATACACATTATAAATTTTTACATTATATTCCTTCTTTGTGTATTTTTTTTATTGTAAATAAAATATTTCTGTATTATATTTTAAGTGTTGTTTATTACTGTACCTACTCCTCCTCCATTTAATATGAGACCTTCCGTTACTATAACAACAGATAGAAGGCGATTGTTGCGTCACTCTCGTCTAATGATAATCGGACAGTTAAGTTAAAAGATTCTTTCTTTTATATCATATACATTTTTTTGGGTTATTATGGATACATTTAATAATATATAACTTCCTTAGATATCATTATACACTCTCCGAGTATTATTACGTTCGGAAAATGTAATAAATTATATTCAAGATGGTACTGAATATTCTGAATTCCACAAATTATTTAAATGTAATTTAGATTATTTGTGAAATTTAATAAATAATTTTAATGTAGAAACTTTATCGAAATATAGTTAAGTTTTATTCTTAAGTTCTGTAACATTTATACAATACTTCTCATTTATTATTCGTATGCGGCGTGGGCGATCTGTCAAAGGGGATGCCTACCGCGAGGACTTCCAATGAAAAGTTACCCCCCTATTTAGGTGTTACAAACGTGAAGAAAATCCGGAAAATTCCACGTAGCCAGCCCGTCCTGGCGAGGAACGAACGGCACAACCGAATTCCCAGTGTTCAGGGAACGAAACCGCTTGGTCACTGGTGTGCCTCAGCTACTGGTAGACCAATACTTTTAAACTTTAGAAAGTTGGACTTTTAATGTATTGTAAAACTTTAAAATTACTATTATTATATTTTTAATATTATAAATTAAATTTACATAACAATATATTAGTTAATATGTAATAAAATCATACTTTTTCTCTTTTTCCAAATACTGGAGCGAAAATTCTAACCAACCAAAATTCTGAGCTTTTATGACATCTTCTGTAGAATTCTCGATATTTTGTTCAAGTTGCTGCTCTATTAAACTTTCATTCTGATATAAAGACAACCTTAAACAATTGTATTTTTCGTCTGAAGTCGATTTAAGACGAATTATTTCGGGATGTCTGGTCGATGACCTTTCCGAAGCTGTTGTTGAATCGAGTGACATTTGTCTTTCTTTATCTTCATCGATATAATACGAGGCAATACTGTCACCATCTGTTGAGTATAAGTAGAAATTATTATCCTTATCTCGATATTATTACGATGAAAATATCGATAGAAATGTCTACCTGAAGGTATTGTCGATAATCTTTTACACACTTTAAAATGCAAAATTTGTTTATCTTCTTCATCAATAGAAAGATCGGATTTATGGAAATTTTTACTTAAAAACTGTCGAAAATTAAAAAATATTCTTGGAATGGTAGTTGGGCAGGAAGCGCAGCATAACATAATTATTTAGATTGTTCTGTTATAAACGTTTCATTCCATAGATTAAAACTGAAATAAATTTAATGAAATAAACATGAATAAACTTGTAATACTCAAAATTTTAATGCAATTTTTATTCATATTTAATTTAAAAAATTACATAACTTCCGGTCCAGACCGAAAGTTTGAGACCTGATATGGATAGAGCTTAAGACCTTTCTAGAATATATGGAACAATGTTAAATATTCCGATAGAATGTAAACTGCAATCTATCGTTACTTAACTACCAAAGTAGATGACAAGTCCTATTTCAAAATTGATTGGGTTAATGAATCCTTACAGATGTAGATGGATTGATGGATAAGGCAACGCACTACTTGGACAATCTTAAGGGAGGACTTCCTATGAAAAATTGACCCTATTTAGGTGTAAGAAACATGAAGAAAATCTTGAAAACGTCGCCCGGCCAGTTAGTAAGGCGAGCTCATCACTACTACCAGGTTTCAGTGGTACCACTCGGTGGGATCTTGGTATTGGTATAGAATCACTTGGTATTGGTGGGTCCTTACAAAATATCATGAAAAATTCTATTTAATTCATAATTTTTTTTGCCTTTCAATGACCAAGTGGATGAAACCATCGAACACTGATATTTGGTCTCAGGATCATTCATGACCAACGAGCTAGCCGAATGGAGTTCCTGAATTTTTTCATCTAAATATGGGCCAGATTACCATAGAAAGTCCTGTCGGAATGGACTACTTGGCATATCGTCCTGTGTTTTATTGCTATATCCGATCAATTCAATCCAGTTATTTTGATGTAAGCATCCGTCTGTCACCTGAAAATGAACGGTCTTATTCCATTAGATCTTATCTCTTAGTGATCTAAACTAGAATATGTTTTTTTTCCTCCTTCACAAATATCGATAACTTGATAACTCCACTGAGGACAGCTCAATTATAATGAGTAAAACTGAAAGTCATATAGCTCATAACATTTTTTGCAGGCCTGGTCTGCTTATAGTAGGGAATAATAGACATTCACGTATCAAAATCACCGATGATCTACTCCATATTTTTGTTTCATGAAAGCTTAATAATCTTCTCTAATAAAATTATATTGAAAAACATAGTTGTATTTATGTATTTAACAGTAATTAACGTTCCAGGTTATCTCTTTTTTGTAAGGACAATGAGGTATAAATTAACGACACCATTTATTTTTCAACATGACAAATAAAATCCTATTTCTTTCCTTCACAGAAATTACAAATCTTGCTTCTCTTCTGAACATTCATTTTATACTGAACTGAATTGTTTACGGTACAATAAAACAATTTCTAAAATAACGATATACCTAGTAAGCAATGTACTGTACATCTACACAAAGGATACTTCTTCCTTTCCTCTCATCGAACACAGTGTTGTCAACCCATAGTAGGTAATAGTAAAAACATTTCTTTGTGAAAAATATGGATTTAATATTCTGTAAAAATTACTAGCACTCATTCATGGCTACAAGGAGACGTCCATGTACAGTACAAACAACCGAAACAGCTTCTGTTACATTTGTGGATATTTCACCCTTATTCGACAAAGGCGTAATATAACTTTTTTCGTGCTTATAAAGCGTACTTCCGACTTACTATTGGGGACCAAGACAAGAAATGGATCCCACATAGGATGTGTCACAACTGCGAGGAAATGCTGTGTGATTGATCGAAAGGAAAACGTAAGATTACCTTTCGGAATTCCTATGACCTGAAAATCATGGAAGAGCGATATCAAGAGAGATGGGACAAATATATGATGGCATTAAACTGCTGGAGCATTAAACGAGATTGTCCTGAAATATGTCAAAGAGCCTGAAACGCAAATTTCTGCTTTTATTTTATGCACCCGCGCTTAGGGTCCAGTATAGGACCAAATGTGTTATGTAGCAATCAGTTGATGCCTGTGTATGTTTTCATTTTTATCACTACAAACATGTAGACTATTTTGCAATGTAATGTTTATTGCCCAGTTTATTTTAAGAGTGTTTCATCAAATATCTATCCACATACGCAAAGAGGTCAATGAGTTAAAAATAAAAAATTGAAATTTTGACATTTATCGATTGCAAAAAAAACCAAAGCTTTCTACGAACCTCCGATCTGAACTCAATTTAGTTAAGAACAAGTGCCAGAAACTAACCCACAGTGAGGTCGAACGGCGTAGATAAAGAGTGAAAACCTCAATCTTATCCATGACTCATTCAGCTGACGAAACTATTTATCATGATTAATATGAACCAATTTGTAACAATGATAACATTACGGGGGTATAGATTGACTTTGAACTCTAACCTCTACGGCAATGATAAGCTTATAGAATAATTATCTTCCTTCCACCTGTGGCCGAATGTTAAAAGAATCTATCACATGCTTGTAAGTCAATGTTTGCCAAATTACTGAGATGGATTCCCGTTTAAAAATAAAAGGAGAATATTTACCGGTTCTTATATACGGTATAACTGAAAGATTTACAGCTATATACAGTATATAAAGCTGGATAAACAACTATAAATATTTATTAAATGTATTATCGATATGTTTAAGTTGTTTGAATTCATTATTTTCTATAAACCAAAAGTTTTGTATATGGAGATCCATGAATGTTTATCATTAAACCACGCTTTCTTGTATGAAGAAGGAAGTATCTTATGCAAAAATTACACTGGTTTAAATGGCGATTTTGCTTACGTATCTAAATATATTTTCATCATATCCACACTTAAGCCTCACCAGTAACTGATTGGATAAAACCACTGAATAGAAAACATATACATAAACATATATAATTCACAATTACAGACAAAACCCTATAAAGTATTAGTAACATTCATCCTTCCTGTAACCATCGAACAAATGGTACTATAGAGCAAAACACACGATAAAGATAAGTATCAATGAATCTTATCTTCTTCGTTTAAATTAGATACTGTATTGACTTAAAAATCTATTATATTTATTCATAAATTTTAATAAATATCTGTTTTTCTCTCCCAAAAAAAAAACCCATTTTTGATCCAAAAGCATCAATTTTTAATCATTTTATCCATAACTAAAGCATGGATAATTATAAAATTCACTGTAATTTTTATTTAAAAATAAAATATTTATGTAAAAATTTAAAATTTATTTAATTATTAAGATTTTAATTTATTACAATTATTTATTAAAATTTTAGGGAGGAAAATACGAAAAAAAATATATAGTAGTTATCATAGCAGATACATTACTTATAAATATAAATATTTTATAATTTTTACTGCTTAAATATATTTATTTATGTAAAGTTCTCTAGTTTAAAAACAAAATTTATAATAATTAAGATGAGTTCTTATATATAAGTATAAGATAGCTCTATACAGCAGCTGTCTTTTAAGTAAATTTATATTATCGTAAAATTAGAAAAAGGTTAATGTCTTCTCTATAACACAGTTTTTTTAAACGTAAAATACAGTTTTAAAAACAATTTTTATTTAAAATTTTACGTAAAATCTTTGTAATTTATCATGCAAAAATCGAATTTGAACGTATTATTTATCACTGTATAAGAAAGAAAAGCCTTTACTTACTTAATATTGAGAATGTTCATCTAGGGTTATATAATGAAATAAGGAACATACTGCTCTTCTATCATTAATTAGTTTGATAAATTTTGGCACGCATGAGCAGAAGAGTAGCAGCTGCAACGACATTATAAATATACAGGTGTTACTATTCAAATATATAAATGTAATGCTATTAAAATATGAATTATAATTAAAGCTAGTTCGTCAATATATTTTCGTGTATTTAATTTAAAAAAGAAATATTAAATTTTTATTAATATATTTCGAATATTTTGATGGATCCTAATTTGCCAAATATTTCTTAACGTTTTTATAGTAATTTTTTAGATAGAAGATTATTTAAGATTGTTCAAACTCTTAGAGTGATGCTTAGTGATGCGGAAGATGAAGTGATGCTATAGGGATTTAATCAAGAGTACGAGGAGCGTTTGCATCAGTTGTTATTGTTATAACTCTATAATATATGGATATAATTATATAATTTTATGTTATAGCTTATACATATATTAATTTTTAATAATGAAATTTTAAAAGCTGATACGTTTACAATATTCATACACATCCCTATATAGAAAATGCTTAATAAAAAATACATATATGACCTTTCTCTTTTAACTTTTACGATGATAATTTAGTTTTAAACAGATATATTCAATTGTACACGTTGAAAAAAGGTATAAATATATTCTGTACGCCTCCTGCTGTTACTTCATCTGTTCGTATCTAGTTATACAGATGTTAGAGGTCTTGTATTATTTAGAATTTCAGAAGATTATATCTAATGTATTAAATTAAACTTTAACTTAAAATTTATCTAATATTATTAATGGAATTTAATGGAATAGTATCGAAAGTAGGTTTAGTATCCTTGATACATCTCTTATCCTTATTACAAAAGCAAATATTAAAAACAGATAAATAACCAGGATGTACGTTCACAATAATTACCTTTACATTGCTACCAGGTGTAAAATTTTCCATTTATGTTAGAAAATTTTAAGTTCCTGAACATATTTTTACACGAATTTATGTTTAAAATATGTATAATCTTATATATAAATTAATGTTTTTATATAATCTATTAGTGGCTTCTTCAANACAATTAATTCCTGAATTAAATCTAGGTTTGATTACATATATATATATATATATATTATCTGGAACAGTTTACATTATTCACATTCAAATTTTACATATTTTCTACTAAACAAAACTAGATTTGACATTGTTAAACATATAAAAAAAACACATATTTTTATTGTTTTCTACACATTTAACATCAAAAACTGGTGAAAAATAACATATTTTAACAATTTAAATCGCATTCAAGTTATAAATAACAGTTTAAATGAGTATTTTATCCATTATACTACGTAAAAATTTTGAAAAATTTCAAAAAATATCATTTCCTGTTATGAAACAGCGTAGAGTAAATAATCATTACTAAAACGCATTATGATAACACAACACGTGGTCGTACGTCACACATCTATTCAGTTTCAAATTTAGATCAGCTGGATAAATTCCCTTCACTGACAAGCTTATATTTAATCAAAATTGGTATCTAAACGGATCTAAAATATGACAAACTCAACTTCTATTGTCGAAATGAAGAATATTTACTCAAATATATATTTACCAGTTGTTTTGGGTGTAATTTTAGCAATATTATTAGCAGCACTACTGTTTTTCTTATGGAGATTACTGATAAGAGTACGAAGAAGAAGGCAATTATTAAAAGACATGACACCAAAATCGAACCATCGCATGATAGGAGTAAGAGCTAACGACTCCATACGTTTCGTGGTTCCTACCATACAAATTTACGAAACTACCGAAGATTCTCTTTCAGAAACTGATTCGAGTGGCTCTAAATTTTCGGACAGAGAAGGAAGGATACGTAAAGTAAACTTTACAGGATACCAGATTCATCCTCAAGATTTAGAGAAGAATCTTTACGAAGGTGATGCGGAGGATGGAGTAAAAGCACGTGAAAATATAGGATGCGTGGGATTTTCTTTACATTATAACTATCACAGGAAACAGTTATGTGTACGGCTCATCGCTGCAACCGATATTAAATCGCATTTTATGAAAGGTACAGCGAATCCTTACGTCAAATTACGTTTGCTGCCTGAAAAAGCTCCAAAATACTACACTCGTGTACATAGGAATACTCTGAATCCTGTGTTTAACGAAACGTTCGTTTTTCCTGTTAAACTTTATGAAATTGAAGAGAAAATATTGAAAATTACTCTATGCGATTATGATAAATATTCGAGAAAAGTTAAAATTGGTGACGTTAAATATCCAATTAAAAATTCGCCTATAACAAGTTCAATTAGTGAAGACGTGACTACAGAAGATTTATGGTTAAGCCTGAAATTTAATTCTGATAAAGTAAGTGTAATTTTATATGTTTACATTTAAAAATAGAAATAAGAATAATACGTTTATTTATTTATTTCATATAGATTAATGAAAACTGCGGAGAATTATTAATTTCAATTTGTTATAATCGTGAAAAAACAACTCTTACTCTCACTATATTAAAGGCTAGAAATATTCATATAGAAGGAAAAGAAAAGGATACAGGTAATTACGTGAAATTTTCAAGTCTGTCCGTCACGCTGTATACGTTAAGAATTGCTTTTATTCTTTGAAAAAAAAAAAAAAGAAATAGTAGAATGAATGTTTAAATGTGTTATCAGATAACCTCGGAATAATCGGAATTATATTTGCTGTTTTTTTTTTTAAACAATATGGCAAATATTTAGTGGCGCGCCAACGATCGCGCGCGCCTCTTCAATCCCGTCGCGTGTGACGCGATGCGAATTAATTTTGTTGAGTTTAGACAAGGAAACTGTTAAAAATAATTATTTTTTAAGAAGCTTATCAATAATTTAGTACCGTGTGTTACTTTATACGTACTTAGTGACTGTTTTAAATATACGCGCCGTGACGCGACTTCGCGTCACTTCGCTGAGCTCCCGAAGCCGGAATTTAATAAATAAATCTAATTAAAACATAAAATATATAATGTTTAATATTAGAAAAGTAACTAACACAATTCATTTAGTATTTTTTTTTTAATCCGTAGCATCCGTATACGTCAAAGTCACTTTGTACGTACGAAAGAAATTAGTTCGAGCTAAGAAGACTGTTTTTAAACGGAAAACACCAGAAATAGAATTTAATAACAGTTTCCAGATCCACGTACCTCCTTCAGCTCTCGACGAAGTGGATATTTTAATTACTTTATGTGGAAAATCTGGGATAGGTAGCAAATACATCATCGGAAGAACCCAAGTTGGAGCCAATTGTATATCTCATCAAGGAATTCAACATTGGCAAGATATGGTTGCTAGTCTAAACAGCACTTCTATTCATTGGCACACTCTAATGCATTAAATTAATTTGTTAAATGTATATATTTATATGTTTTTTAAGTCTAGTAAAAGTCTAAATTGTAGAAACCATCGTTTCGCTCTTGTCGCTTCGCGTCGCCTCGCGTCGAGCTCTTCATTATTAAATTCTATTCAGAAAGGTTAACACGCTTTAATAACATAATTACTGTATTGTAATGTTAGTAATTTTTAACTTTATTTTAATGATTATATTTTTCTGTGATACATTTCCATTGTCGAGTCTCACTTCGCAACGCGACGCGACGCGACAATTGCGCTTCCTCTTTGAAATAGTATAATAGACAATTTCATGATGAGACATTTACACATTTCTTTTTTTCTACTGAATAAATTAAGCATCTCATATATTGTATAAGTATAAATGTTACCCACTTTTTTATATATTTATTTAATTACTTTTGTTTGTTTTTTTTATAAAATTGTGTACAGTAACAAGTAGTATTGGTATTGGTACATTAAATATATATATATACTGTATTTTAATTATGATATAACTAATTATGATATAACTAACTAATACTAATAATTCTACACTATAAATATATTATAACTAATATATTTATACTGTAGAATTAATTATCCCCCTGAAAGGTGTTAGAGAGATGATTGACACGACTCTATTGTTAAAGGAAAAGTATGATGTACAGGGGCAAGACACTACTAATTTGAGATGGAAAGCATATACATTTATCCTTTCAAGATAAATTTTTGAATTAAAATAATGTGAATTCCGGTTTGCATTAAAAGTTCGTATATATTGAATAGTTAATCGGGGTCTCTTGCTCTAGTCTTTCCATATCTGGTCTGGTTTTACATGTATCTAACTCGAGATTAAGGAAAAACTGAAGAACGGACAGACGGACGACAGAGAGAATTTATAGTCTTTTGGTCTAGTTGGTCTCTTCCTTTATCTTGGAAACAAATCGCCTTTAAGGATGATTATAAGAGGAGAAGTAGTCAGAATCCAACTAATTATAGACCAATTGTTTTAATTAGCGTATTTAGAAAGATTTCTTCAATTGTTATGGCAAATTGTCTTCGTATCAGTTTGATATTGTTATTATATAGCAATAATTAAAAATAGAGGCGTCGAATATAATTCGTTTATTTTGGTTGGTCTTATTTAAATACAGTTGACCCCCTATAACACTGTTGATTATTCCGTTTTATATGAATTCCATGTTGTACGAGTCACTTAGATTTTACAAATACGTAAGCCGTTCACAGCCCGGCACACGTATTTGTAAGATCTAAGTGACTCGTACAACGTGGAATTCATATAAAACGTAATAATCAAGTGTTATGGGAGGGTCAACTGTATTACTTTCGAGGAAACGAGGAAAATTATATACTGTTTTATTGATCCTCAAGAAAGCTTTCGATACAGTCGATCATGATTTATTATGGTATAAGCTTAGGAGTATTGGTTTTTTAAATAATTTACTCGAGTCTTTTCTCTAATACAAGATATCTTATACAGGATTTTTCATTTTAAACTAATTACGTTAAGTCCAATAGAGGGTTGCCTCAAGGAGATTCATTAAGTCTTATTCTTTTTATTTTGTTTTTGAATGATTTTCCTGACCTTCCGAGAGGTCAAAGCTCTATGATAGCACCATCTTCTCATGTTGAAATTAACTGTCTTCTTTATGCTGATATTGTCCTTCTCTTGGCTAATTCAGCTTCTGTGGGAAAGACTCAAGCTTACTTGGAGCTATTGTCAAATTATTTATTAAAATTAAAGTATCTTTATCAAATAATTATGTTAGATTATTTGATTTCTTGATTGGAACAAGTGCTTTTTTTTAATGCTTTTCCGGTTTGGGGTGGTCTCTTAGTGGATTTGAGAGAATACAGTTGTTCTACTTTAAGCCAGTGGCGTAGCGAACATAACTGGCGCCCAGGGCACGACACTTTATTAGTGCCCTCCCCCTCCCCCTCTAGAAACACATATAGTTTGTCTTGGAGACCATTTGGGTGCCCGTCTGCGAGTGGCGCCCGGTGCATGATACACCCCCTTACTACCCCCCGCTACGCCACTGCTTTAAACAGGTGTTCCGTATTAATAGATCTGTCTCAGGACATGGAATTGTGAAGACCTCACTATAATTTGTAGATAAACTATAATTCTTTTTTGAAGCCATGTCCTGTTATAGTTAAAGGACTATTAAATAATATTAGATGTCATTCTCTAGTTATACGTATTTTTTAAGTGAAAATTCGTTCCTTCTGGATTGTGATCAACGACTAATATTAGTTACAAAACGTTCATTATTTGAGTAAAAGGGGTTGGAACTCTGAAACTTTTGTTTGTATATCAACTTTAATGTAACAATGTTATTTTAACTCATTCTTTTTAATAACACCCGTTATATCAAATAATAAAGATTGGTTGGTTGATATTTATATAGATTATACATTATAAACTTTGACCTACTGATAAAAATACTGTACTGCCTTCATTATTACATAGGACACATCAGTTGCTGTATAAAGAATTTTCAATTTATTATTCGATTTATATAGAATTTACAGTTAAAATTATTTGAATTGTTATTATTTTATTGTATATTTTTATAATAAAAATTATTATGTATATTCTTCTATCATAGTATTAATCCAATCATACTTGTTGGATACATTAGAATATATAGCAAGCGCATCGTCAACGCTACATGCTGTTGTTAAGTAGTTATTAGATAATAAGAAACTAACAGTTCCTACTAGATACCATTTACTTTGATGAAGGCATACCAAAGGTCCTCCACTATCACCCTAGAAAATTAAAATTATGCAAATTAGATAAGGGAGACGAACATATTACGAGTAATCATAATAATTTACGTGGCATCCTCCTTGTTCTCCTGTTTCATCACCTGCACATATCATGTTGGATGTATCCTTAAAATTTACAGGAAGATTGCATTTTTCAATATCATATAAGTACTGTTCGGCTTGATTTAGCACATCGCTACCACCTGTACCTATAATATGATAATTTAATAAATATAAAACTGTATATTTTAAATTATTTAAAAATAAACTTACCTCTAGTTTCTCCCCAACCAGTTACGAAACATTTATTTTTATTTGTAAATATTAAATTTCGTTGGGGTAGACATACAGGACGGATATGATCATTAAATTTTACAGGCGCATTCAATTTTAGAAGAGCAATATCATTGTTTATATCATATTTTCCTGTTAGTATAAACTGAAAGATATTAATTAATGATGATTTTCTAATAATTACATTTAAAATAAATTTAATTTTTGATAAATTTCTATAGGGATATTTTATATGTTTCTAAAGTGAGATATTCTAATGCTGAATTTATTGTTTGGCGTGATTTATTTAGGTACAGAAAGCTGTAAAATCCAAGGTTGAGCCAGGTGTTATACAATTGCACATTCAAATTCAATATGCATTCATGAAATATATTTACTTAACGTATAAGAGACATTTCTAAATTAAGTTTTTAGAGATAAAATTAAGATATTTTCTAAAATTTGTGCTACGAAATTTAAGAATTTCTCATTTTATAAGTCCAAGGTTGGAAAGTATAGTTAATACACGTCACGTCTAGTTGACCCGAAAGGTGAAAGTCTAATGATACGTGACGTTGAAATCTGAGAAGTTTCCTTACATTATTATAATTAAGTATCGTTATATTATTATATATTTTGATTACATTTAATAGCCATAAAGAAATTAAACTAGCAACAATATTTTATTTTTATTTTTTAAAATTAAATAGTAAATGTTTAAATTGTTTTTATTATTATTATTATTATTATAAACTGGAATACAAAGTTTGATCTCAACCCTTTAATAAGACGGTCGAATAGCCAAAACGATAAATTTTTAATATAAAAAATAATATGTCTTTGCTGTTGTTACTTTTCCTTTATACTTGTTTATTAAACACGTGACAAAAAGTACACGTGTTCATATGTCACGTGGACGTGTTAATTTCTATACACGTCCTTCTTATTAATTATAAAATAAAAGTTAGTTTAAAATATTTTATAAATAGAGCGTTACAGATAGATAATGTGTGAGAAACGACGTGAATAATGAGCGAAAGAAGGAAATGGCAGGACAGTCGTGAGGGAGGAGTGGGGATTTTTCCCTAGACTCAGAGAAAAATTAGGGACCCGTTGTGGTTTCTATCCCTATAAATTAATGTTATGTTTAAGTTACAGACAAGAATTAAGACTATAAGACTACTTTTTATTAATAAATAAACGTGTTATATATTCTATTTGTTTAAAACAAATGGCAAGAGGCTCTCTAAGGAGTAAAAGGAGCACTCTCTCTCTCTCCCAGGACCATACAAACTCTCGGCGGTCCTTTCTGTTAAAACATAGACAATGTATACAAATATATATATGCAATGTGTAGCATATCTAGTGTACAGTACATATCCTTCTGTAACGCTACTGATATTCTACTATATATTTACTACTAAACGCATTTTATATGTGGTTAAATTTGATTATATTTATATACATATTGACTGACAATGGTAAATGATTGAGTATTATTTTGTACACGTTTCTTACAAAAAAGTAGGAGACAATAAGTTACTTTCCTACAGGCCATTTGTTCGAAAGAACCAACTGACCTTGTATATAAGACGAAAATTTTATTAAAGTTGATTCCTTGCAACACTTGTTTACAACTTTCAATATAAGAAAACTTGTTATTGGATCTCACACAAAGGACGATTATCAAATAAGGAAATACAGTAGAAAATTAAATAATCAATAAAAAAAATAATGTTGTTATAAATCGAAAAATTTCACGTAAATTCCTTTAATTAAACGAATGTTTTAAAATATCATAATTTTACTCCAGATTATATATAATAATTATTATTATAATTACATATTTACCGTATCTTCTTCGATACCGGGATATATAATTAATCTTTCAATATATCTAACAGATTCGAATTCATCCTTTATAAATTTATTGTGATTGCCCAAATGGATCCTCCAGAGTGTTTTATCTCTTAAACTTCATAAAAATAATTATCAGATAGAATTTTTGGTTTAAAAATATATTTATAAGTTACTTACTATTTAAAGCAATGAGCTGCGCTCACTACCCAAAGAGAATTGATCAAGGAACCACCGCAGGTGTGGCTGTTTGGTTCTATGTTATTTTGCTGTAGGTCTGCCTGCCAGGGCCAACTCCCAGGTATAGCTTCGGTTCCACCCACAATACGATCTTCTGACTGTTGATGATGAGAAACGGGTGGTGCTCCACACTCAGGGGTGGGTGAAGGTGGGAGGCCTGACAAGGTACAGAAGTGTAAATAACCTTTATGGGATTTTGTTAACTATATAGGACATAAATTACTACTTGACCTTTGATATTGTTTTTTTCTAGAAATAAGAAGGTAATGTTTGGGTTACCTGACATAAAGTACTTTACTTTAATGGGTTTTTTTTAAAGTTATTTTTATGTAACGTAATAAGTACCACATTTTTCTTCATCTGTGCCATCGCCGCAATCGTCTACTCCATTGCAAATTAAATGTTTGGAGATAAATTTTCTGTTTCTGCAATTGAATTCCGTCGAAAATTTCGCTGAAATTGGCGTAATTTATTATAAACTCGGTATATATTTTTTCCCGTGTACGTAATTAATTTTAAATATTAAAAATTTCTCACATTTAACAAGCTCGTATGATACGTTGAATCCACGTCCAGTATGAATCCAATCGCTGTAGAAAGTAATATAAATCTCATTATTTTCGGAAATTACATCGTATGGTAAAATACTACCACAAAATATGTATCGAGGACTTTGATTTTTGGATAATTTATCATAAATTGCAAAATGATCCCCATTACAACTACTTGTGTTTTCTACATCGAAGTAATTGAAGCGTAATCGAATTAACTAGAAAATAAATAAATAAAAATAATATAGAAATATTTAAATTTATAATTTTTATTTTTATCATAACAAAAATATTTCTTCTTTACCGTGTTCGGTGCACTTAAAAGTGCATAAACACATCTGACGTTCTTCGGATATTGACCAGATGCATAACCGGGACTATACAAGTAACTTTTGCCAGTTACTTTAATTATTTTCGGATTTTCTTCATCGCAGTCATCTAAATTAAATAAATTTTAATTTCTTATATATACTTTTAAACAGATAATCACGTTACGACAATTACATCTTACGTAACAAGCATGAATATAGGTTACGTTTCAAGTTATATTAAATTACAATATATTTAAATGATATTTAAACGGATTTAAAACCAATATTTAATGTTATAAACTTATAACATTGTTACAAAATAAATTTATAAACATTTCTATAGTAATGTATGACTTCTGTACACAGTAGAAAGTAAACAGAAATGTATGTAATTAACTTTAAGTTTATTTTTATATGTTTTATGCATAAAAAATATATTGATGTATGAGTTACACGAGCTGATATAGAAAACTTATTGATGTAAATGTAGTTTTTTCCCCCCTTCTTCTTGTTTTTTTTCCTCATCTCGTCATCTATCACTTACAGTACATATCATTAAGGCACCATGCTGTCTATTCAGAATCTAGTCTGACCTGATTTGGTAAAATGGTTTCTACTCTAACTCGTTCTATTTTATAAAAATAATTTTTTAAAGTAATTTCTTTTAAATATTCCTTAATAAAAGGGTTATTTTCTGAGTATTAAAAAAAATATATTTAATTTTGTAAAAAGTAAAGGAATTTTTGTAAATATTTTTATGTAAAATAATAAATAAACTTTTAATTAATATATAATGATTTTATAAGTAAAAATTTTAATTTATTATTGTATTAGGGGGTAGAGTATACTCACGAATCTAGGGATGAAACACTAAAAATGTTTTTAAATTTATAAAATATTTGATATAAATTTAACAAGATATTTATATACTTTTTTTCTTTTACACTTTAAGCACTCGTTACATAAAAAAAAAAGATGATTTTAATTACACGAGCCTATCATATAACAGATAAAATAAAGCATAAAACTGTTGAACACGCATTATATATAATAATTAATCAAATATTAGCAATGGACATTCGTTTCGGTTTAAACTAACCACACCCATTCTAACCAATCACGACACGTCCGAGACACGTGACAGTCGATAGTAGTCCTAGTGTAAGTACAGTGGGCCACCAGATTCTCATCACTTCCGTTCATTTCTCGCTTCATATCTAACGATTATTACTATTGATCGATGTTCAACGATGATGATCGAACAGGGAAGGAATTGTTCAATAGTTTTCTTGATAGCCACCGTAATTATAATGGCGCTGTTGTCGGTAAGGGGTTCACGTGCCATTCGACATCACTTTCGTCACGGTAAAGTAAGTTTTTTGAATTTTTTTTCTTTTTTTTTAAATAAAATTTAAATAATATTTTAACAACTTCTTCCCCTTAAAAAAAATGAAGTTTTAGGTTAAAATTTTAATTAAAAATTTTGCTTAATAACGCTGAATTACTTGACATAATTTAAAGCGAATGAAATGATTTAATTAGTAAATAAAAAATTAAAAGAATATTTTAAAATATTAATTTAATAATATTTAACGTTTAAAATATTAAAAATTTATTTTTAAAATAATGATTAGTTTGACAAATATTTTAAGAATTTAAACCCAAAGTTGCTAGTAACGAAATTTTGGCAATGTAAAGTGAATGATAAAAATAAAGTTTATGTATTTATTTTTAAACGAAATTTATTTAAATATTTAAATTTTTTAATTTATTAATTTATATCTTTACTTAATTTACCATTAAATTAACAAGATAACAGCAAAAATTATATTAAACACATCACCTTTGTAATTACTGTGTAATTTTCTATTATATTTTATTAAATTGCCTTATAATTTTATAGAATATATTATCTAAATATATATATATATTTTTTTTTAAACATTTTCTTCGTTAGTAGAGGTACTGATAGACTTAGTCAGCCCTGTTATAGATGTGTCAGTGATAGGTAACACGATCCATTCTAGGTATTTTCGTCTCATGTATCACCTAGTTTGTACTTTATTTTATCGTTATTCTCTGGTATAAATCGTGCTCTAACATATATAAAAACACTTCCATTATTCATATAACTGAATAGGAAATGTTTTACATACAGTTATCCCAGTTTTAATCTATCTTTTGAGGTGTTTTTTGAACAGCAAAACGTGGAAATCAACAAAGTAGACATCAAGGACGTTACAGGAAACAAATTATCCCCCCCAAACTGATGAATAAATCATTACTTGTCACCCCCAAATTTTATTCTATTGGTTGTTTACATTCTCTCACCGACAATGAGGCGACAGTATACTTATAATACTGTATAATACTGTATATAATGCTTTAACGTTAGGTACTGTTATGATCTAAATTCTCTTGTTTTACGTCACAATATTATTCTTAGAANCGTCGAAGATTAAGAATCAGAGCTGGAGAATTAGATCTAGCGAAAGAAGAGGGTAAAGAACAAGAAATAGGTGTTGCAGAAATTCATATTCATCCCGCTTATGATATCCATACTGTCAATAACGATATTGCATTATTACGCTTACTACACCCATTAATCTAAATTTAACAAGATATTTATATACTTTTTTTCTTTTACACTTTAAGCACTCGTTACATAAAAAAAAAAAGATGATTTTAATTACACGAGCCTATCATATAACAGATAAAATAAAGCATAAAACTGTTGAACACGCATTATATATAATAATTAATCAAATATTAGCAATGGACATTCGTTTCGGTTTAAACTAACCACACCCATTCTAACCAATCACGACACGTCCGAGACACGTGACAGTCGATAGTAGTCCTAGTGTAAGTACAGTGGGCCACCAGATTCTCATCACTTCCGTTCATTTCTCGCTTCATATCTAACGATTATTACTATTGATCGATGTTCAACGATGATGATCGAACAGGGAAGGAATTGTTCAATAGTTTTCTTGATAGCCACCGTAATTATAATGGCGCTGTTGTCGGTAAGGGGTTCACGTGCCATTCGACATCACTTTCGTCACGGTAAAGTAAGTTTTTTGAATTTTTTTTCTTTTTTTTTAAATAAAATTTAAATAATATTTTAACAACTTCTTCCCCTTAAAAAAAATGAAGTTTTAGGTTAAAATTTTAATTAAAAATTTTGCTTAATAACGCTGAATTACTTGACATAATTTAAAGCGAATGAAATGATTTAATTAGTAAATAAAAAATTAAAAGAATATTTTAAAATATTAATTTAATAATATTTAACGTTTAAAATATTAAAAATTTATTTTTAAAATAATGATTAGTTTGACAAATATTTTAAGAATTTAAACCCAAAGTTGCTAGTAACGAAATTTTGGCAATGTAAAGTGAATGATAAAAATAAAGTTTATGTATTTATTTTTAAACGAAATTTATTTAAATATTTAAATTTTTTAATTTATTAATTTATATCTTTACTTAATTTACCATTAAATTAACAAGATAACAGCAAAAATTATATTAAACACATCACCTTTGTAATTACTGTGTAATTTTCTATTATATTTTATTAAATTGCCTTATAATTTTATAGAATATATTATCTAAATATATATATATATTTTTTTTTAAACATTTTCTTCGTTAGTAGAGGTACTGATAGACTTAGTCAGCCCTGTTATAGATGTGTCAGTGATAGGTAACACGATCCATTCTAGGTATTTTCGTCTCATGTATCACCTAGTTTGTACTTTATTTTATCGTTATTCTCTGGTATAAATCGTGCTCTAACATATATAAAAACACTTCCATTATTCATATAACTGAATAGGAAATGTTTTACATACAGTTATCCCAGTTTTAATCTATCTTTTGAGGTGTTTTTTGAACAGCAAAACGTGGAAATCAACAAAGTAGACATCAAGGACGTTACAGGAAACAAATTATCCCCCCCAAACTGATGAATAAATCATTACTTGTCACCCCCAAATTTTATTCTATTGGTTGTTTACATTCTCTCACCGACAATGAGGCGACAGTATACTTATAATACTGTATAATACTGTATATAATGCTTTAACGTTAGGTACTGTTATGATCTAAATTCTCTTGTTTTACGTCACAATATTATTCTTAGAATTATTATTATTATAAATACTTTTCAGAAAATATATTTACTTTTATACTAATTTAAATAATTTTTATAAATTATTTTATTGTAANNNNATAAAAAATATATATATATATATATATATACGTAAATTATCTCTACTATATACAAGGATATGTATTAAAACTATTTTAGGGAAGAATCTCTCTATACAAGAAGAATATCCCCTTTTATATACAAATTTTTAAGTAAATTACTGCTCTATTTTACAAGAAAACTCATTAAAAGTAAATAAATGATAAATTTGTAACAGAATTTGGAAACAATTTAATTTAAATTAAATTTAAAAAATAAAAATAATAATAATAATAATATGTAATGAAATTAGTTCTTTATATTTCGTAACAGTTCAACTCGTTTATATTTTATTGTTAAAGAATACGTGCCAAAGATTTAAATGACTGTAGACACACCAAAGCATTTCCGGTGCTGAAATTTGATTTTTTTTGGGGGGGCTAATTTTTTTAATTTTTAGAAAGGTGCATTAGTTAGCGGATTGTCACCTGCATCAATTCGTGACTAGCCAACCAATGCAGCAAAGAAGACATGTTGCAGGTGTGCTGAGATCTTCTTCTAAGATAACCTTGTTTTCTAATGACGTCAAATTCATAAATTTGATTATCAACGTTTTTAAATACGATTTAAACACAATTTTAAACGTAATTACTCAAGTAAATTATACGTCAACACATTGCTTATCATCTAAATATACCTGTAAAGACATTTTTAAAAAAAGTTATAGTAAATTTTTGAAATTCTCTGAAGTCAAAATTAAGGTATTCAAACGTATCAGCCATTTTTTATAGTATGAATATTTAATATCGTAAAAAACAAACTTAGATCAATGTTTTAATTAGTTTTTTTTATTAGTAATTTGATAAATAAGAATGTTATTCTACATTTACAAATGTTTTTAATATAATTAAAATACATTTAGCCACATAAAAATGCGATAAAAAAAAATAATACAGTTGCCTTATAGAGGTAAGTAAATTCACAGTTACATATATAAAATTCTTTTGGCATCGTTTAAAAATTAATTGGCACGAACAGACAACCTTACAAGGACTCAGTTAATTGCCTTAAGATGATAATTACCGTTCTAAACTCGCATACAACATCCATATTAATAATTAAAAAAAAAAACAGCTAGTGCTATTACTCACTCTTCCCATTGTCGAATTTATGCTGCGTTATAATGTAATGCTATAGAAATGATCGGTTTATAAATGATTCAGGTGATTTCTGTACTTTGAAATGTGAAGCGCGTTATAAAAACTTGTGTAACAACATAACTTATCCGATAATAAAGACAAAGAATTGCTAACAAATTCCGTCTTGCTGAACGGGGTGTGAACACCCTCTCTCTCTCTCTCTCTCTCTCTCTCTCTCTACACCTGGATACTCACTAATGATACTTTAGTTAATGATATACGAGCCATTGATTGAATCTAGATATGGTTTATCAACTATAAAATTATTTTTCCTAAATTTTCTAATATTTCTTTTCTAAAATTTGTTATAATTTCTATTTTTAATAACTTTAAACCTGATTTTTTTAAAGTGATGACAAAATTAAACGTGTTAAAAGTAGATAAATATGAATTTTTTTATTAATTTTAGTATTAATTTCTTCTTAAAATAGATTTTTTAAAATAAATTTGGTCGTATAGGAAGTGATATTTGTGAAAGGTGTATGAAAATTGTAATTTCCGTTTCCGGTTTTCGCTCGTTTTAAACATTAATATTTGTCATTGCTTAAAATAAAGATTCTTCTGGCAGCTTAGAACTAATTTTCCTGTACTTTTATGTACAGTTTAACATAAACATTTTAATTTTTACCATAGACAACACTCCTCATATGAATCTTGAACATGCTAAAAAAATTAGTCATATATTTTAATATATATATATATATAAGGGTTTACTTTAAATTTTCAGGAATATTCACAGAACCTAACAATATTTGCACCCCAGAGAATGAATTACGATCAGATCTATTCAAAATGGACACCGTGGAAGAAATGCTCATCGAGATGTAAACAGGTGAGGAGTCGATTGTGTAAATCACCACAGCACTGTGGTGCTAATGTACTGAGAGAAGTAAGAAGATGCCAAGGAAACAGATGCAGGAATAAACATAAAATAGTTAGTGGAGAAGAAGAAATTCAAGAGAGAGAATCCGACATTAGAGTACTTTATCATCTTCAACATTTCGTTTATTCAGATTGGTCTTCTTGGTCACCTTGTACTCGAACCTGTCGTACGCACCGTTATAAGACTTGCGAAATGGCTCTAGTTTGCGGAAATAGTTTGATTCAAGAGGATGCTCTATGTTATGTCAAGAACAGCATCTGCGAAAAATTATATAACAAGAAAAAGAGAAGAGAAGAAAAGAGGAGGAGAAGGAGGAGGAGAAAAAACGAACAGGAATTATACGATTCAGGTGGGTGTTCTTATCTTAAATTGGAGCTTCTTAGTAGTTTACACGATTCTTTATGTCGAATTTCTAAAACTCCTTTGTCTAGTGAGGTGTTGTTTCGAATACAAAGATGAAGGACAGATATAGACAATGTTAATGAGTGTTTTCATCAAGGTTAGATGCATGTAAACTCTACATTTATTAAATTTACAGCTTATCAAACTGTCTTGTTTATGATTTATTCTCAAACCATACGATAAAGAACAATGTTTTCTACATGAGAGAATGTTATCTCTTTGTAACATATCACTGTTAACATTGCACAAAGAATAGAATTAATCTTTTGTTAAGCCATTCGGAATTAGAATTCTCGAATAGTCTAGTTATATTCACGAAGTAGAAAGATTATATCTCAAAAATTAATAAGTTTTCTTTCTACATTAATTATTATAGTTTTTATTTTTATATTAATTGATTTAATAAATCTGTAAATACAAAAATAAAGCAAAATATATATATTTTTAAATAATGACATTTTAATACAATATTGCCCATTAGTGACAGAATGGATAAAACCACAGAACACTGGTAGTGAGTTGGCTCCTTGACAACGGGCTGGCCACGTGAAGTTTTCCGGGTTTTTTTTTTCACATTTGTAATTTTAACTAGAGGCCAATTTCCCTCTAGAAAGTCCTCCTGAGAGATAGATAGCCCACGTGTCGTTTTGTGTTATACAAACGACAAAACAAAAGTATTGTATAAATATTACAGAAGGTAGGTGGTATAAATATTACAGTAGGTTTTTTATTGTAGTGTAGGACCTACAAACAGTTGTCTATTTCTTATACCCGCGGCCCCCCGTGTAAGGCTTTGCGACCCCCGTGGGGGTCGCGACCCACAGGTTGAAAAACACTGTGCTATATCATATGCAACTTTTTCTAGTATTATATTAATTAATATCGATATATCTAATAATACACAACTTCCTTAAATATCATTACTTACTCTCCGAACATTATTATGCTCGGAAAATATAAATAAAAATATTCAAGATAATACTTAATACTGTATTATATTTTGAGTTTCTCAAATATGGAATTTATTAAATAATTTTAAAGTTTATCGAAATTAATTAAGTTTTATTTAAGTTTCTCAAATATGGAATTTATTAAATAATTTTAAAGTTTATCGAAATTAATT